AAGTCTTGGGAAGGAAATTCTAGAGAGAAAAAGTTTTAGCACCGTGGATGACACACTCAACAGAAGGTTGAAGGATTATGTGCAGATCAACAATAGATTTTCAGCAAGGTGATAGACATAATAATGTTAGTGTTTTTTTTTCTAAATACTTTGCACGTATCGTGCATGATATAATGACTTTTTTTTTTTTTTTCTAATTCAGTCATTGTGCTCAGGTTTTAAGGAAAGCCATCGACATATATTTATCCGAGTCTCCCACATATTATAACAAGCAGTATCATGAAATTAAGGTGAATGAGCCTGCTTTTATTTATATTTGATTCGGTCTGTTCTGAAATTATTATCATCTTTTTACCAGTTAGAACGTGCATTGCGGTTTTACATGCCATCTGCTCGGGGGCCTTGCATACAAAGTTATGCGGAAAAACTGAAGGAAGAATGTCGAAACATTTGGGAACGCGGAAGACAGAAATGTGAGAAGCGAAGTTTGTCAGGTCACGAATGTGTCTTAGGGGTGAGCTCATCCTTTCTGCTTTAAGTGATTTACACAAAAATGGTATGATTTATTTAGTCGAGAATTTGGATTTCAGTTAAATCACGACTCTGAAAATATCGATAGCGGTGGAAAATATGGCGGAGTCAAAAAGATCGCAAAACATCGAAGTTCATTTCGGTCTCTCCATGCATGCAACTGTGGAAGAAGTCGTAAGGAGAGGGATGATCCCTTTGACTTAATTGTAAATATCATCGTTTCTTCTTTCACAATACGAACAACATGATTACGCTAACAATTTTATTTTTTCCCGCTGTCAGGACGCCAACGTAAATTTTTTTCAATTTCCCAATTGTTGTAATGCGGATGGAAATCAATATATTATCTCTCCTCTTAAGAATTCCACGTCTCCTTCAATGTGGTCACTTATACGACTTGGTTCGGGATCAATTTATCGCTCTAACTTTGGTCTTGACAAAGTTGATGGTTTCGCCACGAACACAAATTTTTTATTGCCGATGGACGTTTCATTTATAGCAAAAAAAGATCAGGATGAAGTGATAGGTACAAGTGATTTAAATGGATGGACCGCAGACATGGTGGGCAGTGATAACAAGATAAAGAAATCACGCGCTAAAGGATCTAAACAAAAAGGAAAAAGTGGCGATGAACAAAAGGGTGATGCTGGCACATCTTGGCCGCCGTTGGGAAATGACTGTAAGAATGTTTCAACTATTTATGGTCATATTTTTCCGGAGGTGTGAATTTGTAAAAATCACTTGCTGTTTTTAGCTGTTCAAAACGACGCCCAGCAAAACTCAATGCAAATGGATGAATCTTCTACGACCACCTCGGATGCCAAGGGCCTTAAGGGTGGAGATGCAAGTAAAGAGAAAAGAAGTAAACGTGGTGTTAGGAGTAATTCAAAGAGAGAACGCGAAAAAACCGTGGTCGCGTCAAAAGACACTAGTCCGAATTTTCCTTCGAAAACTGATTACCAAATGTTAAGAGGTTATCTCGGTGTCGAGTACGAATGTCCCATCGGTCACAGATTCATGAGTTGCGGACAAGGTCATGTTTGCAAGTTAGGACACGCAGGACACATAAAGGTATTGATCAAGTTTTGTTTGTGGGAGACTTTCCGTTGAGCTTTCTCTTCTTTTATTTCATTCTAGGAAACCGCGCACACTCTTTTGGAACAAGATTTACCCATTTACATTCTTTGCCCGTGCAACAGTTCAACCAATAATTCGCCCACGTTCGCTCAACTACAACGTATCGTAATTGTGACTCCCGATTCATCGGCGTCGATGATCCTAAATCCCGTAATCAAGGTTTCGTTCTCCCCTTGATTTTTTCTATCTCCTATGAAAGTTGACCATACGTAATTAATATATATTACTCACATTGCTTGAAACAGAACTGCAAGGACGAAGAGGCCGTTGTGTCTCCAATATATAACTTCCAAAATAATGACGATCAAGGAATTTCCTTATCAAGGAATAGCCTGATCGTTCTGCGTTTACCGTATCCTTACTAAAATCTTTGTATGTGTATATGACAAAAAACATTATTTTCTTTGACTCCGATCGTTCAGTTACATTCACTATGACCAACACGGCAATCCCATTTGTCCGGATAAAGTCGTTACGTCGGCACTATACTTGAAAAAGAAATTTCTTTTCATTGAGATGCCAAAGTCTGAAAACCTCACCAAGGGCGAAGACGATGTAAGCATATAGTTTAACCAGCATATGAACATCACGTGATATTGATTAAAAAAAAAAAAAAAAAGAAAAAGAAACCATAATTTATCCTGTTTTGTCATTCTAAAAAGATATGCATGCATGTTTGATAATTTTTTTTTTTTTTGCGATTTTGTGGCTGAAGAAATATGTATGTAGTCTATTATATAGTTAATTACATTACGTCCGTATATACACGTGTGTCACTATGCTACATTTGTTGGGGGCTAAAAATAAATTTAGTACAATGTTATATATTCTTTTTTGTATGTGTGATCATCTCTGATGCAAAGTATGAACCGCTTGATTACATATTTACTCGGTAATTGGCTCAAAGAAAAAAAGGGACCATCCCCATTATTTCAGATAAAAAAACCATGATTTTTGGCTTTTTTTTTTTTTTTTTTCATACACAACTTTTCAACGAAACCACGAAACCACGAAACCTAGCAACGGTTCTCTTTTGCTCGTTTATTTCCTTGTTCCAGTTCCAATAAGTTCCAGTAATTATGGCCGTAAAATTATTTGTTGGTGGTCTGTCTTGGGGTACCGACGACCGTACTCTCAAGAGTAAGTTTGAAGAATTCGGCAACGTCGAAGACGCTGTTGTTATTCGTGACCGCGATACTGGTAAGTCAAAAATTATGCATGAAGAGAAACTCGTCACTCCATATTCGTCTTTGTTATTTTTTCTTTTGTGAGCAACCTTGTTACCTTCGCGAGATTTGTTGTTCAAACCATCTCTGCGAATATAAGGATGCTAACCTTTCTGTTGTCTTCTTTCCCACCCTCACGTGTTTGTGTGTGTTGAGTTCGCTCCCCAGGCTATTACTATTGAGTGTGTGTATTTAAATGTGCGTCCCAATAATTCTGTGTTGTTCCATCCAACCCCCTTTATCCTCCTTCTACTCTATAATTATGTTCGTATTTTTTCAACTCTCGGAAATTTTGTGATGAAGGCCGAAGTCGTGGTTTTGGTTTCGTAACATACTCATCGTAAGCAATTTACATTAACTGATATTATTATTCAGAAGTTGCTGCAAAAATACTAATCTTTTTGCGCGCTATCCATCGTATAGTAATGAAGAAGCCGAGGCGGCTATTCAAGGCCTGAACGATAACGAGCTTGATGGCCGCACTATTAAGGGTGAGTTGCATATTCCAACTAGTTCAATTAATTCTATTGCCATTTATTAATGCATAAATAAATATTTATTTATTAGTTGATCGTGCTTCTGAACGGTCCGCACCTCCTTCCCGTTCTGGTGGTGGTGGTGGTGGATACCGTGGGGGCAACGGAGGTGGTGGTTACAGAGGTCGAGGAGGTCGCGGTGGCTTTAACAATCGTTACTAATCTCGTAAACCATCTTGATATGTGGATTGGTACACCGCGTACCATTGATTGCTCCTGATGCAATCTTATAATGATTGTTCTCTATTTTTTATATTTTTTTTCTACTTTTGTTTGTTATCATATATTATCCCACATTGCTATGATCTCTTCTTTGCTACATTATCAGTGTCCGTCTTTTGAAAGTTTCCCATTCTTTGATTTCTTGGCTCGTCAGATATTTACAAAATTTTATGCGATCGAATTCACTTTTGCAATCTGTATATATCATCCTGTGTCTTACAAAAAATTTCCTTAATGTTCGTTCCTATTATGTTGTTCTTTTGAAAAGAACAAATATTGACAGATATCTCATTTGGTTCGTTTTGCTATTCAGTCCTGGTTCGCATTTCTTTTAATTTTTTTTTTCTTTAAAAAAAAAAAAATGCATTTGTAATATTTCTTGGTGCCTTTCTGTACTTAAATTTGTACATATTAGACGTGACGTTCTTACATAAAAATCGAATAAAATTCATCGAATTAATGTTATCGATATAAAAATCAGTATATAATTAAATAAGTTTATATTGTTGTTACAAAAAAATCAATTATTGCAGTGTCTGAATTTAATTAATACAAATTACTAAATTTGTACATAGAAATGATTTATTTATATAAATTGATGACTGATTTAAAAAACACCAACTCAGACTTCGTAGTTCATGCGCTAAATACAAGACAAACATGATCGTCGCTCGCTGTTATGACCTTTCGACCGTCCCTGTTAGTTATATGAAAAATTTAATTGATCTTATTTTTCAAACGGAATGATAGGGAGAACAGAAGAAGCGCTTACCTTGAAATTGCAAAGTCTAAGATGGAATCTTGATGCCCGTACCAGATTCGTTCCCTGTTTCCGGTTCTCGCGTCCCATACGCGCACCGTTTTATCAGCAGAACACGTGGTCAATAGTGGGGAATCAAGATGCCACTTAAGCTTGACCACAGCATCCTTTATATCAAAGAGTAACGCGTTTAAAGAGTTATATAAATTGAGTGCTAAAGTCAGATCTCTTGACATACATCATGCCTGCATGTTTGACGCAGTCGCATAGTGCTCACATCCCAAATATTTAATTTTCCATCAACCGATCCTGTCGCTACCAGTGGAAGACTATCTGGTCGAGAAAAATCAAATGTTCCCATTTAATAGGTATTCTTCTGAACGTGAAAACCATAGTTAACTAATTCTTACACGTCACAGAATCCTGTTGCCTCAATTGAATCAGTATGGTCTCCGAAAGATCCAAGAATCTATTCAGAATCACAGTGATAATGCCATTAATATCAACAACAACGGTCAGGTAATATTCGCTGGAAGTTTTGTTACCGTTCCATTGTTCAGGTTAACTAGTCTCGAGGAACTGTCCAGGGATCCTGTGAGAACCAAAGTACTTTCCTTATTGATCGCAAGGGAGGTAATGCCCACCTGATGAAATCGTGAATCATCACCTGGTGATCGTTTGTATTAAATAAGTAAATAATACATTATTGTATCAGAGAAATTTTGTTCATGTTAAGATATACCGGTAATTTTTAATATCGCAGAAGCAGTCTTTGGGTCCCATAATATTAAGGAAGAGTCCTCTGATCCCGAAACAATCTTTTTGCCGTCGGGTGTGAATTTTCCCACAGTAGCAGTTTGCGAATGTCCCGAGAAAACGCTCATGCAATTACCAGACGGAACTATTCTCGAAAAAGGGAGTAAGGAGTACACTAGTTACATCTCGTGCAAATGTTTTACATTGATATAAAATAGACGTACGTTGCCACATCCATATCGACGCATCGTTTGCGCCCGCCAAAAGAATAGGACCCTTAGGGTGCCAATCAATCCACTGAAAACGTGTAAATGGATGGATAGATAAACAAGGTTCATTCGTCATTCGGATTCAATCATCACAAATACCCACCACAATCTCGTCGGGACCTTCTAACGATGCGACCAATTCTCCACTATCCACTTTCCACACAAATACCTTACCATCCATACCGCCACTAGCCACAAATTCGCCATCCCTGCTAAACATGACAGATGTAACCGTATCCGTATGACCTACATATCTCATATTTACAAATACGTGAGTTTGGTGTCGGAGACACATTGATTATTAATTTGAACAATCGGAAAACCTGAAAGTTCATATAATTGTTCTCCAGTATCTGATCGCCACAAAAAGCTTTTGTCATCACCGCCACCAGAAACCGCTATATCTTGATTAATTGGATGAAGGTCGACAGCGTACACGGAATCTAAATAAATAAATAAAAAATATTTAAATTTTTATAAATTTCATGTGTATAGAAAGTTTCGTTTCCCACGAAAAACAGACCGATTCACCTTGATGGGAAAAGAATCCCTGTACGGAATCATCTATCAAGTCAATCACAACATCATTGGTTCTATCCTCGGAATTTTCTTCATCGGCATCCGCATCTTCCATGGGAATTACATCGTTATCCAGAATTTGTTCCTCAAATATTTCACCCTGCTCGATAAATTCTTCACCCTCTTGGTCGATTGTTTCCTTTAAGTCGATCAATTAAAATAATAGTTCTTTGGGACAAACAACAATCTACAGAATTTTTAAATCACATACTTGATCGGCCATCTTAAAAATTCGAAATTTTGTTAGAGTTATTTGTATTGTGAAGATTGTGAAGATTATATACAGTATATATATATATATATATATATATGACGATTATGCGCCACTGTAATATGCAATGTCATCGACAAGGAATTTGATCAACTTTTTTTTAAAATCAGTTAGTATAATGGTTCACTCAGTACAAATGCGTTTAAATGATATTCTCTCTTTCGCTTGTAAAGATCAACAATAGCATCTATATATAGATGCTCGAATCAAAATGCATGTTAATTGTTTCGCAAGGGTGAGTAGCGCGATTTTCGATATTCTCGTGTCCCCTACACGATTTACGTAAAGATCCTGATAATCAGAAATTACGTGTCGTGTAAAACGAATAACCGATATGCACCCGACATACTTTTATAAGCAATATACCACCCTAATCTAATCAACTGTTATACTATTTTTTTTTTTTTTTGGATTTGATGTCAAAAATTCTTCGCCTATTTCCAATTATCGCTTCCTCCCGAGTTGCGAATGAGGGTTCGAAAGGCCTAAAACGACGGTATTGTACGTTATCTGAATTGATTCTCTTTTGCCAACGATTTCCCACCACCAACACGTCAAGCGAAAAACAACTTTCTTTTCTGCTAAACCCTTCCTTACGTTTAACTGTTGTTTAGACTCTCAAAGAGCCGGGGATGCGCGCGTCATTGTTCATAATCCTGTCGTTGATTTGGACGGAGATGAAATGACTCGCATTATCTGGGCAAAGATCAAGGAAAAAGTAAATTCTGGTTCTTTCCCTTTACTATGATTATTGAATGGAAAGCTTAAATTAAATAGTTGCCTTGAATAGTTGATTTTTCCCTACGTTAAACTTGACATTAAATACTATGATTTGGGAATGGAAAATCGTGATGCCGTAAGTCTTTTTTATTTAATTTAACTTTTTTTTCAAAAGCTGGGTCAATTAATTTCCGAATAACCGTCCAGACGAATGACCAAGTGACCGTGGATGCGGCAGAAGCTATTAAGAAGTATAACGTTGGTATAAAATGTGCGACGATCACTCCGGACGAACGAAGGGTCGAAGGTAATTCCGGTAAACTGGCTTTTAAATAGGAACACCAAAATGATCTTTATATTTCCCTAGAATTCAATCTTAAGAAAATGTGGAAATCACCCAATGGTACCATTCGAAACATTCTAAACGGAGTGATTTTTCGGTCAGTTCATTACGTTTAATTATTTGGTGGTGGCCACACGCTGAATTAGAAAAATTTCCTCATTCCAAAAACTTACCTTTAGCGAACCCATTCTATTGAATAATGTCCCGCGAATTGTTCCTGGATGGACCAAGCCCATTGTCATTGGTCGTCATGCGTTTGGTGATCAGGTTGACCATCTGTGAATTCTGTGCTTAAATACAAATGTTAATGGTTACTAACTTCTTAGTTAGTATAAGGCCACAGACATGATTATCGATCGTCCGGGTAAGCTTTGGTTACATTTTGAAC